TCTAGCTACAGATGCCTCCTCCTATGGCATAGAAGTCGTGCTTCTTCATGATGGTCATTGGGGAGTATCGAAAATGAAACAGCTAGCTTGACAACATGTCTGGTAGACTAATATTGACAAAGACATCGCACGTGAATACGTAAGCTAGCCTGAAGCTGATCGACCTTGGGAGATAGTACATATCGACTTTGCTGGCCCATTCTGTAATTTAATGTGGCTACTATGTAATAACAGCACCGTTTCTTCCAGCCTCAAACGGATTAGCCGAACGATTCGTCAGATCTTTTAAAACTACTGTTAAGAAAAACATTGACGATGGATTGTCTCTCAAATTCGCTGTATCAAAATACTTTGCCAAATGTCGTGTAATGCCGAATTACTTACTTTACTTAGTTGGCCATTACAGACGTGTGTCGTCCTTGGCCGCGTCGAGTAGCCTCCGCCAGTCAGCCCGATTAGTTGCTTTCTGACGCCAGTTGGTAGTACCGAGCGCCCCCAAATCGTTGGTCACCTGCTCCTTCCACCGAAGATGCGGACGTCCTCTACCGCGTTTTCCACCTGCGGGTACCGAATCAAATACCTTTCTAACCGGAGCACTTTCTTGCATTCGCACGACATGACCAAGCCAGCGTAACCGCTGAATTTTTATGCGCTTAACTATGTCAATGTCGCGGTATAGCTCATACAGCTCATCGTTCCATCTAATTCGATACTCGTCGCCAACGCGTAAGGGACCATAGATCTTCCGAAGAATTTTTCTCTCGAATGCTCCTAACGCCTTCTCATCACTGTTGGTAATTGTTCAAGCTTCTGCACCATACAGCAGGACAGGCATGATAAGGGATTTGTAGAGCGTGATTTTTGTTTGTCGAGAGAGGCTTTATTTCTCAATTGCTTACTTAGCCCGAAGTAAGCATTTGTTGGCAAGAGTAATTCTCGTTGAATCTTTAGGCTGACGTCATTTTTTGGTGTTTAAGCTGTTCCTAAATAAACAAATCTTTCAACAACTCAACTTATAATTGTCACAGTGGCGTAGATCCCCAAGACGCCTCAGGACGATTTTGTTGACAGAAAAGTACTTTGTTTTGTCCTCACTTTACCAACAAAACCCATTTGCTTTGCTTGTTTTTCTAAGTTGGAAAATGCCACACTGACGACGCGGGTGTTTAGACCAATGATATCAATATCGTCGGCATACGCAAGCAGCATTACACTTTTGTAGAATATTGGCCAGTACGGTTTAAATCTGCTGCTCGAATTATCGTTTCCAACATTAGGTTAAAGTAGTCACACGACAAGGAGTCACCCTGTCTGAAACTTCGTTTGGTATCAAACGGCTCGGAGAGATTCTTTCCAATTCTAACGGAGCTAGTGGTGTTGCTCAACGTCATTTTACATAGCCGTATAAGTTTTGCTGGAATACCAAATTCAGACATAGCGGCATAGAGTGTGCTTCTAGTCGTAGTGTCAAAAGCAGCTTTGAAGTCGACAAATAGGTGGTGTGTGTCGATTTGTTTTTCTTGAGTCTTCTCCAGGATTTGACACACTGTGAATATCTGGTCTAGAGTTGATTTGCCAGGTCTGAAGCCACACTGATAAGGTCCAATCAGTTGGTTGACGATTATCTTCAATCATTCACATAGTACTTTTGACAGAACCTTATATGCGATATTTAAAAGACTGATCCCGCGGTAGTTGGCGCAGTTTGCAGGATCACCTTTTTTGTGGATTGGGCAAAGCACACTTAAATTCCAATCATTGGGCATGCATTCATCCGACCAAATGTTGCGAATTAGCTGTAGCATGCATTTTGATAGCTCTTCGCCACCAGCTTTAAACCAGCTTTATGACCAATATCGTCATAATGTTATAATGTTACAATTTTTGAATTCGCTCCCAATGTCGTCATAATGTTATAATCTAGTATGTTTTGTATTAGTTTAAGCAATCCTAGATAATGAAATGTAAACAAAATTTAGTCATATATAAACTATCAATTGTGTCATTCATATTCACTTCATTTGATATAATATTAGAATTTTTTATGGATTAGTGTCCTAGCAAAATATATTATGGTTATTAACTCTCTCTTGCAAACTCATTGCAAGTTGTACGAAATACACAGATTGTACGAGCCTGCAATTAACAACAACAAAATACACGCACAAAATTTCGTGCAATTACGTGCAATCTTCCAACACTAAAACCTATGTATATTTGCTTTCAACAAAATAGAAATGGCAGAAATCAGCTGTTCCGACATTTGTTGCTTCTCATTTTTAAATTTGAATTTGGTAGCGAAAGGCAAGTTTGTTAAAATATTACACAAATTTTGGTTAATTAAAATTTTTGTAATGTATTTTTAGATAAAAATGGAAAACGGAGCACCAGCAAATAAAAAAAAAGGTTGCAGCCGCACAAGAAGTGGACGGAGCGGGAAGTGCTCCAAATAATAGAATTTCTGCAGGAGGAAGCAGAATTTGAGGTTAATTCCTGTTTTTATTTGTATAACACTTAATTAATTTTTATTTTTAATTTTACAGGCTCCAACTGCACAATTTTTTTATAAAAAGTTTTTGAAAAGGACACAGTTGGATGCAACGTGGGACCTTGTACGGTGGAAGGTATGGCATCTAAAGGCGCAGTACCAAAAAGCGAACGACTGGCTTGCCGCAACTGGCGCAGGACTGCTAGATAAATCGGACGGCAGTACTATTGACGGTTAGTAAAATTTCGAAATATTTTAATCTATGGCTATATACATGCGTTTCGTTCAATGATTTAAAACGATGTGGCCAATAATTAAGTTTTCACAAATATAATATTATATACATATACATTTGTGAATTAATTTATCTATTTATCAATTTCAGCGAAATTTACGAAAATTTGTCTACATTTTGAAATATTGAATGAAGTGTTTGGACGCATGTCTAATTTTCAGCCGCTTGTGATATGTACGGACACATTACCACAGCGACCAGCTAGTTTTGCGCTGGGCGACGAAGTTTATTTTATTGAATCGTCTGCAGACAACACATCATCCAGCTCTGCACCGAAAGTCGTGCGTTCTGCTGTGCAAAGCCCCACTACCCCTCTCGCATCCCCTAAAATTGCTAAAAAAAGGATCAAATGCTGCCATAAGCCAGCTAGCTGCAGTACAAAGGGAAA